TAATTAACTTTTTTAATTACATTTGTAAATACACTGTTGACCATCCCTTACACCTTAACCCACTGTTAAACCTACCCATGCCACTAAACCTGTCCATAACCCAACCTCTATCCCGACTCAAAAGCACCACAAGTGTTCTCAAATACATTATAAACACAGTAAGTACATTGTATTTATTTTCTGATGTAAGTACATAGTTAAAAATCTCTCACATGTAAGATGTGAGCATATTTACTGTACAAAACTTGTCAGTGAGCTGTAAGGGCAAAAAAATAAAATAAATAGTTAAAATAATCATTCATTAATCATAATCAAGTTAAAATGTTCAATTAATCGAGATTTTGATTAGTATGGACAAAATAAAAACTCTCATTCAGTCTCATGTCGTATCAAAAGATACATTGTTTACAGTATGGAATAAACACTATTTATATACTCATACACTTTTTATTTAACGAAACACATGTTTGACGTTTCAATTTGCACATAATAGCTATACGCACAATGTTCCATATATATGCTGTAGCCCTACTTACATTTTGTCAAATTGTATATTTTTGTTTATTTATTTATTTCATTCCTTTAATATGTATGTTTTTTTATTCTTTTGCTCTGTGGAATCTTTTGTCACGGAAATGAATTCCTCGTATGCTTGAAGAGACCTATCAATAAAGCTCCTGTTTTTTTTATTCTTTTGCATACAATTTATATGAGCTGAATTTAAACAAATTGAGTTCAAGATAAATTATTAAACTAAATTTCTTTGTTTAAATTCATTCCAAATAAATTGTTTGCAACCACTTACCTTTTTTTGTTTATGAACAATAAAAAAGCTCATTTGGATTCTGTTATTTTTTATCTTAATAGGTATGAGCACAATATCATACTCATTATGGGGATTTGGTTTGATCTATTTATTTTTAAACAGAAATATCATACATAAAAAGAATATATATATATATATATATATATATATATATATATATATATATATATATATATATATATATATATATATATATATATATATTAGGTTGGGATTGAATTTTTAGAAAAGGGTTTTATTTTTCATAACATTTCATTAATGTTTTTCCATTACTACTTAAAAGTTTGCCCTGAAGCTCTAGATAAAGTGTGAAATATAATCACATATGAATGAAAACATATTGGAGTGTATTTTAAAATGTAAAAAAAAAAAACAAATAGCGCTTTCCATGTGGTATTTATAAACTAGTAATGGATTGAAGGTACATGATACAGGTACTGTATCATAAATATATATATATATATATATATATATATATATATATATATATATATATATATATATATATATATATATATATATATATATATATATCAAGATATGAGATGACTTGTATTGTGATATGAGATTTTTGTCTATTTTTTTTTCCTGATCAAAAAGAACAGGAGCAGGTAGACTTATTAATAGTTTTTGTTATTAAATCAAAGAGACACTCTTGATTTTTTTGAGCGAGAAGAGTGAAATGTGATTTTATTGTTGAAGCAAAAAACATTTTTGTCAGATGAAATCTACAGACCAACTGAAAGTAAGATCTAAGTAAAAAGATGTGATTCATAAATAATCTCTGTAAGAGTGCTTTAGATTTGCAGTGTCAGGGATTGACCTGTGGTTCTGGAATTATGTTTCTGGGACACTAAAAATATAAATGTGCTTTTATTTTGCTCTAAATGTTAATCAATCCAAAAAAAATATTTCATAAGAAGGTTTTAATCGCTTCTGCTTTGCATTGATTGTTTTGCAACATCTATAGATTAAGTTTTTTTTATTTTTAAGAAATGTCTAATATATCTTTATTTTATTTTAAATGGTGTAATATGGCTTTATTTTTGTATTGTAAGATAGGGTTTTAATCACAGCGGTTCGAACTGTAGTTTTGCAGAGTGACTAAAAAGTTATCAACATGATGATAAAGAACTTTACATTTAGTCAAACCATTCTTCTGCAATCTTATACCAAAAAAATGGAAATAAGGTCAGTATTAATAGCTATAAATGTGGGAGAGCGTTGATATTATGCGATTGCATTGTATTGCAACATGGAACAATTAAATGTTGATGTTAAATCAAAAGTAATTCACAAATACTTGAAAATGAGACGATTTAATGACAATAAAATTGCTATGGTGGTTACAACTGAATTAAATACAAAATAACTGTATAAAATGATAAAACATGAAATGATAAAACGTGATATAAATTGTACCCATAAATGTCAAATTAAAATTACCAGAGGTAGAAAAAGAGACACGGAGGAGGGAGAGAGAGACAAATAGAGCAGGCCCAGAAGTTAGCCTGATTGCATTAAAGTCAAAGAAGATAGACTGCAGAGAAGGAGAGAAGCAAAACAGGGTAGAAGCAGACCAGGAAAAGAGCCTAAGCAGAGTTTTACACCTATTTTGTATGTTTCTTGACCATGTGACTAAAGCCCAAATGCTGAGACATTCAAACTGACCAATCAACATGTGATCACATAATAAAACCCCTACAGTCCACACACCAGGCCCTGATCTTATCAGGATCTGTCTTTAGAGTCAGTATGGACCTTCTTGAATCAAAACGAAATGTTTTGTCATATAAACAAATGCATATGATAATTTAGCCTCTTACAGTATATTCACTCAGAGGAATAGGTTGTCATAATCCACTGTTGGGTCAAATATGAACAAACCCAACATTGGGTTTATCTTTCATTCATTCATTTTCTTGTCTGCTTAGTCCCTTTATCAATCCGGTGTCGCCACAGCGGAATGAACCGCCAACCTATCCAGCAAGTTTTTACGCAGCGGACGCCCTTCTAGTATTGGGGGTTATTTCAAATAATAATGTTAATAATTGAAATAATAAATCATATAAATACACATTTGGCCCTTCCTACATCAGTTCAAACCATTAGTAATACATAATTGCGCCAATCAGTCTATTCACGAAAAAAGAGCACCAATAGAAATCGTGTTCACAAGACTTTGTTTTCTCGTAAAATAGGTGTTTGTATTTATATTTAGCCTGAAAATAAAACCTAATTAGATGCATAGTTTGTAGTTTAACCTACAGTAACATCTGAAATAGTTAATCAGAGAATACTGTAGATCAGAATACACTAAATACTAAATGATACTAACAAATAAAAAAACTAGATATAATTAAAAAATACATAAATGACTAAAGCATGTATTACTAACAGTTGACCCCCCTGATTGTCAATGTAATTTGCACACTGAAAAAAGAAAATGGCACTAAAGTTACATTAGGTTTATATCAATTTATACACCAAAAAAGGCATATTTAAAAATGTAAGCATTGATGATATATTAAAATACTTTACTTAAGGGTGACAGTAATACTACTTAATTGTAATTGTAAAATTGTAACGTAAACATTAGATATACTATCTTTTAATCCATCTTGGTGCACTCATTGCCATCAAGAGTTATTTTTAAATATAGTATGATGATTTTCTCTAATCTTTTATATTTTTGAATAAGTTTATATCATGGCGACATGGTGGCTCAGTGCTTAGCACTGTCGCCTCACAGCTAGAAGGTCACTGATTCGAGTCCCGGCTGTGTCAGTTGGTATTTCTGTGTGTGTTCCCCCACAGTTCAAAGACATGCGCTACAGGTGAATTAAGTAAACTAAATTGGCAGTAGTGTATATGTGTGAATGTGAGAGTGTATGGGTGTTTCCCAGTACTGGGTTTCAACTGGAAGGGCATCCGCTGTGTAAAACATATGCTGGATAAGCTGGCGATTCAAGCTGTGGCGACCCATGATGAGTAAAGGGACTATTATAATTACATAAATACATATTTTAACCTAAATTACAATGCAACATTAAATTACACCCCCTAATTTCTCACTTTATTTTCAAAAACACCATTTGAAACATTCAGGTAAATATTTGTACACTTTTATTTATTTGTACACAAAAATTTCATAATCCACCTTTGGGTCAAATAAGGACAAACTCAATATTTATTTATTTATTTATTTATTCAATGGTATTTCAATAATATTTTAAACACAGCAGGAGGATTTCTCCATATTTGACCCAACTTTTGGTTACAACAGCCAAGCATTTTTTTTTTTTTTGAGTGAACATTAAATATGCATGAAATAGTTTGCTTGATATTACCTGTTGAGTACACTAATGTTATATGCATTATTTTGTTCTTTATAGCCATTCAAGTTATTGCAGATAAATAAATAAGAACACTATGTTGGCTAGCAATCCCGGATTGACATGGCATCACCCAATCTAAAATGCATTCTGGAAAGAAAGGGCACCACCATAACAAATAAATTCATCCAAAACGCCAAATGAGACCGATGCGGGATGAACACTGTCTCCGAATGGGTTAACAAGCTGTAATATTCAGATTTGTATGTTTATTATTACCCCCTTATTGAACACACGCGCTCAGAGTAGCGTGTCTCCTCCCTGCCCGTGCACACCGCGCGGAGGAGCTCACAGCCCTCTTTCTGGCTTCACGAGGACCATTGCTTTTCATTCAAGGAAATATAAAACATCTTTGTGTTTAATCGAAGTAGTAGATTAATAAATAATTGAATAAAAAAGAATGGATGAACCCCGTCGTGGTTGCGCGCATATGGCTGTTTGTACCCTCACACTTCCCCGGCGTTTCAGCACTGGCGCTGTCCATTAGTTCCCATCTTACAGCGATTTTAGTGAATCCTTTGATTCTTTCCAGAGGAAAAAAAAAAAATACATATAATACTATAATACATCGGAGTGCATTGGAAACAGTGCATGCACGCCTTTATTTTCTCTTCTTTTTTGCAATAAACAGATTGGATGTCACTACATACAAGTGTGCGTCATTCACAAGGCAGCGTACAAAGAGCCGTGTAAATGTGATATTTTCTTTATTTATAGTCCCTCTCCTTCGGCGGAACATACCATGTTACTGTATAACGATGAGAGGGGGAGAGAGCGCGTCGAGTGACATAAAGGGAGCCGCTTTTTCTCCTCGTCCTCCCCACTGCACGGAGCGCGTTTGAGACAGCCCTGTCGGTTTAAACCGGGAGGACACCCATACCGACTTCTCAATGCAAAAAATAAAAGGGTAGCTAGAAGCAGGGGCGAGGGGAACGGAGGTAAAGCGAACGCTGTCGGTCTGTCTCTCTCTTTCTCTCTCTCTGGTTTATATCACATGAATGAATGAATTGAGTAGTAAAAGGACACGTACAAGGAAACACGCCTCCGCCTGGACGACAAAACGCGTTTGATATTTGACTTGTGTTCAATGGTACGTGTTTGCATCTGCCAAAACCAGAGTAGGACGTCTCATCCCCCGTCATCTGAAGCACTCCAGAAGGTGTAGCAAGCTGAAAGTCCTCGCGGCGAACATGGCAACTTTAACGAACGGACAGGTGGACGCCGCGGTGCACGGAGGAGCGGCCAGTACGAACGGGCTCGTGAACGGAATAAGCCACACTCACAGTCCCGCGAGCTGCGCCACCATTCCCATGAAGGACCACGATGCCATCAAACTGTTCATCGGACAGATACCCCGCAATCTGGACGAGAAGGACCTCCGGCCGCTCTTCGAGGAATTTGGCAAGATCTACGAGCTCACCGTGCTGAAAGACCGCTTCACTGGCATGCACAAAGGTAGATTTCTCTCGCGACACTCTGTCATTAGAATGTCTTGATTTGCTTTGCCTCCGTCTCCATCAGAAAAAAAATCGAATGTTTTGAACGACAGCCTTGGATGTACAGGGTGATTTTACGTCTGAGTTTAACATATGTAATGCGCGGGGTGGTTATTCATTCATTGGTGTAGGTGGTCTACTACGAAAGTTGAGTATTGATTGAGGTTTGGAAGCGAATTTTGATACACAGCGATCCTTTTTTGCGCGATCCTATTTTGAGGATGGGGGGCGGGGGGGGGGGGGGGGGTATTTTACACTTGAGATTGACTTCTGTCTTATTTTTTGCTTCACAGTTTTCATACATCATTATTTAGTTGCGAATTGTGTGCTGTCAGGTTGTGAGACTCCAAGCTGTGCGTTTGTAACCCGTCGCTTGACGTCTTCATTTGAATATTTCTACTATAATGTGCACGCGTCCTGCAAAAAATGATATCTATTCATCACTCGCCGTTTCTCTTCGAGATTTTAACCGCAAGACTAAACGCGGCGCGTGAAAGTTTCAGCGATTGTAGAAAGCTTATGAATATTTAATGAGATAAGCACTGAGATAGTGTATGCTTGGTGTCTGTTGTTAAACAACTCAACGTAACGTTGTATTGGTTTGCTAAATCTCAGCAAGCGTTATATAGGGTTAAAGGTGATGCTGACCCTCATCCAAAATGCAAGAGTGAAACGTGTGCTTCACCCAGGGTTAAAGCTGGCCATGTAGAATAAGACCTTAACCTAGGGTTAAGTGTAGTGTGTAAAGCATGTACTGCTTTAAAAGCTGAATCGAGGTTCAGTTCGCCTGTAATTCCATCAAAAAATTTTCCATTGAGGCTTCTTCCATAGTAGTCTCTCTCTCTCTCTCTCTCTCTCTCTCTCTCTCTCTCTCTCTCTCTCTCTCTCTCTCTCTCTCTCTCTCTCTCTCTCTGTGTGTGTGTGTGTGTGTGTCTTCAAGTTTTGCCCACATTATGCTGACTAGTTGTTCAAGAATAGAAAAAACCTGGAATCTACAATCTTTGGACCATCTAACAGCCGTGATAATTCATCAGACTAAATATATTTTAATTAAACTATGAACATATAAATAGAAAATGTCCATCAATGACAGAAAAAGACTAGAGTGTGAGTTTACATTTATCTCTAATTGGTTTTATTGTAGAGATCGTATTGTGTACACAATATAAAATTCTTTTCTTGCTTGGCATCTGAGACAAATAGCCTATTATCTTGTGCCTTTTGTCCGAGGAGGACTGTGAGGGAACTGAAGGTAAATGGCAGCCGTCAAGACAATGAAGAAGAGAGCATTATAAGCAGGGATAGGATCTGTAGTGAAAGGTTCTGTCCAGTAACCTCTTAATTGGGGTTGTGTAGCCACGATTGTTCCTGTGCTATTGCTTCACAATAAAATATTAATTTATGATGACAGTCCACACAATAGCGTTTCAGTGTGGCGAGTTCTAGCAGCCGAACTATAATTACCTCCTGCTTATCTTCTCCTTGCCAGTTGGTGTCATGCGCAGCAACTCGCGTCTCCGGTTAGGTCCGTCCACAACTGTGCCTTGTTTGTGCGCTCGCTCGCTCCTGCAGTGTGGTAATTACTGCTGAAACTGTGTACCTGTGGTGTGTTAGGAAAGATCAATTCCTGGAGCCCTCAGCCAGGGGTCCAAAAAGGGTCTCCCTAGGAGGATCTTCCCAGGGGTGTCATTATTCCACAGGCTTGCCTAATTGATCCCCAACCCAGAGGACATTGTTTGGCTTTAGGGTCACATCAGTGGCTAATTTATCTATGGGAGTCGAGGGAAGAGCTGCTTACCCCCAGCCCCAGGGATGAAGTCCCTCCGTTGTAGTAAACAAAGCTGTCCTCTGTATGTGCCTAGCAAAAATGTGGCTTTGAGTAGCGGGTCTGTGGAGGGTAGGAGGTTATCTTTTATTAATAGCACCGCTGGAGTACTCCCCGTCCGGTGGTTAATCATGTTGCTCGTGAACTATGGGGAGTCGTGCTGGCTGATTCTAGGAACTGTCTCCTCCTCTCAATATATGGTTCTTTTGTACCCATCCCCCCACTGCAGGGCCCGTGTTCGCTGGTGTGGTCGTCAGACCGGCTTGGCTCCCTGTTGCAACTGGGTTTAGGTACTCGTTCACTCTCTCTCTCCACAACATAAGGACTGGCGTCAGTGTCTCTCAAAATCCATTTCCCTTTGGCAGCAGTGCCGTTCTCTCCGTACCCTGCAGTACACCGAGGCCTGTCCTCTATGGAGCTCTCGTTGCTTCAAGAACTTAATATGCTGTTTTGTAAAAACGACCTTTCCCTTCACTTTCAGGAAAAAATAGTACCTTTGCAGCAGCTTGTCACTGGGGTAGTACCCTTAAAACTCGCTAATATTTACACTGAAAGGCAATGTTCACCTAAAAGGAAAATTCTTTCAGCATTTATTCACTCCTCTGTTGTTCTGACTATTTCTAATGTTGCACATTAGTCTGTTCTTCTATAAAATGAAAGTCATTTTGAACCCAGAATGTTCTTTCTTGTGAGTTCCACAGAAGAAAGTTGGAACAACATGAGGGTGAGTAAATTATTCATCTTGATTTCTATAGTGCTTTTTATTAGGAATGTCCAGATCTGATCACGTGATCGGAAATCGGGCATGATCATGCTGTCTCAGACTCGATCAGAATCGGACATTACCTCATAATCAGGACTCGAATATATACTTATATATACAGTAAAAGTCAGAATTATTAGAACCCCTGAATTATTAGCCCTCCTGTTTATTTTTTCCCCCCAATTTCTGTTTAACAGAGAGCAGATTTTTTCTACACATCTACACATAATAGTTTTAATAACTTATTTCTAATAACTGACTTATTTTATCTTTGCCATGATGACAGTAAATAATATTTGACTAGATATATTTCAAGACACTTTTATAAAGCTTAAAGTGACTTTTAAAGGCCTAACTAGGTTAATTGGGTTAACTAGGCAGGTTAGGGTAATTAGGCAAGTTAGTCTACAGAACAAACCATTGTTATACAATATCAATTCATCAAATATCAAAAATAAAAAACTGCTTTTATTCTAGCTGAAATAAAACAAATAAGACTTTCTTCAGAAGAAAAAACATTATCAGACATACTGTGAAAATTTCCTTGCTCAGTTAAACATAATTTTGGAAATATTTAAAAAAGAAAAAGTATATAAAAAAAAATATTTATATATATATATATATATATATATATATATATATATATATATATATATATATATATATATATATATATATAAAATTATAATTATTCTCATTATTTTCATAATTATAACATATTCATTGTTGGTATGCGATGGCACAGTGTTAGACCTCTTTTTTGACTTCACATAGAAACCGCAATGTTTGCAGCATGACATCACTTTTTTTACAGAAACGCTATTGGTTAAACGTGGCAAAGTAAAACACGGAAGCAGATTGAAGCTGAAAGCGTGAGTCTGTCTGCGGTCTGGAGGTATTAAAAAGTTCATGACAACAACATTGCCATAGCAAACTGTAAGATATGTAAATTTGGGATTGCCTGCCGGGTATTTTAAGCTGAGCTGCTCTTCGTTTTTATATTAGATTTCTTTTATATGTACTGTTGCACTAAAGTCCAAAAGTAAAGAGTTTATGGTATTTATTGCTTGATTGTTTAAGCTACCTCACAGAAGTGCTCTGTTTGTTAACAGAGTTGTTGAATGTTAAAATAAGGTGAATTAAGTAAAAAATAAGGAACATCCTGGATCTGTTTTTTCGCTCTTTATTTTTTCGGGTTTCAGTATCGTTAGATACTCAAAATCAAATGACTCACACTAGGTCGAGTGTGAGTAGAGTGTGTCAAAACAGTTTAACACCGATGAGGGAAAAGAGAATAAAAAAGCATAGCAGTATTTCAAAATTTGGAAGATTTCAGCAAGTCAGACAGGCAGTAAATTATGAACAAATTGTCTTGTTGGGCTTTAAAGTTCTGCATGAAACTATATTTTGACACATATCAGAGTGAAACAGCTGAAGATATTTAGGACAGGACTTGATTTAGTTCATCTGAAGCTGATTGGATTGTTGTTTCATTGTTTGCGTATCATTGCGATCTCATGTGAGAGTGACATGTTGCTAGAGGGGAGGGATTATTACCTCGCTCTCACAGCGGTGCACACGTCATTAAACACGAGAGGCTGTTGTGAGGAGAGAGGGAAGGTTAATGTGTTTGATTAAAGATTACAAGAGCACATTAAATAAACAAATGATGATGTGAACAGGTGAATCATTTAATATAAACACTTCGGTATTGCATAAAAGTAAAAATGGCCCTTTTGATTGCATGATGTTATAGGATCTGTCTCACCGTGCTTTAAAACTAAACAGTACATTGATTCATTTATTCATTTTCTTGTCGGTTTAGTCCCTTTATTAATCCGGGGTCGCCACAGTGGAATGAACCGCCAACTTATCCAGCATTTTTACACAGCGGATGCCCTTCCAGCCGCAACCCATATCTGGGAAAACTAAACAGTATAATGCTATCCTAAAAGCAAGTTCACACAACATTAGCCCTATTTTAATTTTAGCCCATTATCAACTTGATTTGATTTGTAAACAACAATGGATGTCAGGCAGCAATAATACACATTTATTACATTTTGATTTGTTTTGATTTGATTTATTTATTTCAAGCATAAAAACCATGCATAAAAATTATTTAACAAAAAATACATTTCAACATGGTCGCAATGGAGTGGGATGAAGCACAAGCTTATTATTTTCCCACCCCGTTACCACACACATCATTATATTACAGTCTTTTACTTCAACTTATTTCTTCATGCGACATATTTTACTCTTGGTGTCTATGATATATTATATGTTTGATTGCATTCGTACATTTGCATTTTATAACATTTATAGTACATTAAATATCATTAGTAAAAAAAATGAAATCTGTTTTTCA